TGTTGCTTCCCATGTGTTTGTCTTCTCCTATCAACTAGATCAGGAATCAGCAAAGTAAAGCCCACAGGTCACATAGAGCCTGCTGCCTTTTTTTTTTTTAAACTTTTTATAGTGATTTGCTTGTAGGTTTACAGAGCAAATTAGTTTTCCTTTCAACAATTCATACACATTTAGTTTTTCTGCCTGTTTTTGTACGGCCTGTGAGCTAAAATAGTTTCCACATTTTTAAATGACTAGAAAAATCGAAAGATTAATATTTCATTACAGTAAAAATGATATGAAATTTGAAGTTCAGTTTCTATAAATAAAGTTTTATTGGAACTTAGTCTTGCTTATTTGCTTATGTGTTATCTATGGAAGAGCTCCGGTAGTGTAGTGTCTAAGGCACTTGACTGCTAACCAGAAGGCTGGCAGTTCAAACCCACCAGCCACTCCTCGGAAGGAAGGTTGGGCAATCTACTTCTGCAGTGATACCACCTCGGGAACCCAAGGAGGGGTGGCTGAGTCGGATCCTCCTTGGTGGCAGTGAATTTTTTGAGTATTTATGGCTGCTTTCAGTCCCTGGCTGGGGAAAACAGTTAGGGCTTGACTACTAGCTACAGGGTTGGCAGTTGAAACCTACCCAGAAGTGCCTCAGAAGACAGGCCTGGTGATCCACTTCCAAAAGCAGAAAACCCTACAGAGCGAAGTTCTATTGTGCAACCCATGCGGCTGCCATGAGTGAGGTGACTTGATGATTAACAACAACTCAACAATGGTTGCTTTCGTGTTACAATGACAGAGCTGAGTGGTTGTAACAGACCGTATGACCCACAAAGCCTAAAATATTTACTGGCTGGCCCTTTGCAGGCAAGTTTGCCAACGCCTGTGCAATGTCATTTTCTTAAATGCTGCCATGACACTGTCCAGAGGCCTTGGCTAGAGGTCGGCCCGTTCTGCTTCTAGAGCAGCTGATCAAGTTCACTCTCAACTATTCCCTTTATCAGATTCTCATACTCCTGGGCCACTCTGTCCCTGTCCTCATCACTCTGGGGCCAGCTGTCCAACAACTAGGGATAGCTCTGCCTCCTAGCCCACAGAATTATTCCAAATGCCCAGTCCCCAGGAAGCCTATGCAGCCTAGGTAATCCCATCCTGCTTGGGATACATAAGCCTTCTTCTACAGTTCCAACTTGTTACTACCTTGTCTCTGAATGCAACCCCCTGTGTGGCCCTGTATCACAGTGTACTATGTTGTGTCTCTAGTCTCTGAGACCTATGAGTATGATAAACCCAGTTATTTTCTGTGGCTTCCCTGACTTACCAGTCCACGAATCTGTTTGAGCACTGAATCCCATACCCCTATCTTGGCCAGAGCCTAATTCACAGTCAGAACTCTAGAAAGAGGTGCTGGTCCTCCTCCATGGCCCTTCTGGGGCCACACCAGAACCTGGCACAGGGAAGCCTCCTGCCAGCCACACCCCAATGGTTCTTCTCACAGGTACCCCCTTTTTCTTCTCCTTTGCCCCTTTTTCTCTCCTCTTAGCCTTCTTCACAGGTGAAATCAGTGGTTTCCAGACCTGCTGGATGTTCACAATTACCTGGAGAGGTTTGTAAAGTTGAGATGGCCAGGCCCATCCAAACGATCTGCATCAGGCTCTCTGAAATAGGGTTTGAAAATCCATTTTCAAAGAGATCCCAGGAGATGTGGGCTGGGCACCACCAGGCTTAGTTCCAGGGTCACAGTGCTGCATCTCCTGACTGGTCCTTTCAGACCCAACCCAGCATCCTTTGCACCCCTCTGGCTTTTCCCATGCTGGAGCCTTCCCTCCAATAGCCTCTTTAGCTTCAAGACATTTTAGGACTTCTTCAAGGGTACGGGAGAGACCTCTCCTCTCTCCCAGACACAGATTCAAGATGTCAGGACACTACCTCTCTGTCCCCCTCTTTTTTTTTTTTTCGACTTACTAGAAACCAAAAAAACAAAACCCGTTGCCACTGAGTCAATTCTGGGTCATGGCGACCCCATGTGTTAACAGAGTAGAACTGCTCCATAAAGTTTCTCGCCTGTAATCTTTATGGAAGGATCACAGGCCTTTCTTCTGCCATGCTGCGGGGTAGGTTTGAATCCTCAACCTTCAGGTTAGAGCCTAATGAAAACTGTTTTGTGTCACCCAGGGATCTGGTTATTGGATCCCATTTAAACCAAACAAACCCTGACTCAAGTCCTTCCCTTGCTTTTCTTGCCCCCTCCCCCACAACCTGGTATCAGAGCTTGTACCAGGCACAGACCCGTCTTCTCTCTATCCACCTAAAGCTGCTGCCAGGCTAGTTCCAGCCTACGCCAGGGCTGGGGGTGAGGGAACCTATTTCTCAGAAGCCCCCACATCCCTACAAGCGTCCACTGTCCTGCTCAAAGCCCCTGTCCTCACTGACGTCAGAGGCAGCCTGGCCTCCATCCCACTTCCGCTTCCAACCCTCACCCTCGGATTTTTGTGCCCCCGCGTTTCTGCCTAAAAGCCTTTCTCTCTGTGAAGGGCTTTCAGCTGCTTTTCTTAGTAACTCCTCACAGCAGGGTGGGAGGGTGAGCTGAAAGCCAGAGCAGCAAGGTGGCCAGTGGAAGGCATGAAAAGGGCCTCCGTGGGCCCGGGCTCCTGCCAGCCCCGGGGCAGGAGGCCTGGCCAAGGGGGAGCGTCGGTCATCAGGCCACTCCAGATGGCAGCCACACCAGGGCCAGAAAGTGGAGTCTGTTCCACTGGGGTCCCTCGGGTATGGCACTTGGAGAGGTTTGGAGGGTCTCCTCTGCCTCTACCCAGGCTTTCTCTTGGCTTTGAACCTTGTTCAGCTCTGAGTCTATGGCTAGGCTCTGGCTGGCACCCAGGATGTGAAAAGGTACCTTGTGTGATCTGTCCAGGGCTGACAGCTGGAGACTGCTCCAGTGTGCCCTCTGCAGCTCACACAGGTGACCCAGGGGCCTCCTGTTCCCTTCACAGCTTGGTTACCCAGTGTCCTTGGCAGCCAAGGGCCACAAGCTGGGCTGTGGAAGGATCATTATTCAGAAAGCACTCTAGAGTAATCCCAGGTCTTGATGGACACTGGGAGGAGGTAACTATGGGGAGGAAGTGGGAGGGGAGCTGCTGCATTGTAAATTTTGGTCAATGACATGAGACAAAGTATATGTGAACTGCTGTATGAAAAGTGAATTTACTCTGTAAATCTTCACCCAAATCCTAATAATAAATAAATAAATAAATAAATAAATAAATAAATAAAGAGAGTAATCCCAGGTCTTGCAGCTGCCTATATGGGTGTATATGTGCATGTGTACGTGCACACGATCCATCCTAGTGGAACATGATGCATTTTCTGGCTAAGCCCTTCTATGTGGCTATCATCTGCATACATGTACATGTGTGTGCACATATGTGTATATGTGCATGTGTGTGTGCATGCAGCATCCTCCCTCCCAGACCTTCAATTATTCTCTGTTCCCCACGCTCCAAGCCTCTGGCCTCCCTCTCAGCTCCAGATGCTGCTTGTCTCTCATTCATAGCCAAGGACAAGCTTGGGAGTCATCCCTCCTGTTACAGGTGAAGAACTGAGGCCCAGAGAGAGAGAGAGATTATCTAGCTCAAGGACACAGAGCAAGTCACTGGTAAAAGCACGAATACAAGGCAGGTCTCCTGACTCCCAGTATGACATTTCATCCGGGACTCTACATCCTCTGCCCCATCCCCTGACAGCCCTTCTGGACTCCCTCTTCCACCAGCTAATGATGGAACTTTCAGGGACTTTTCTATCCACAGCCAGAAGGCATGGATAGGGCAGGTGATGACCTCCTCTTAGCATGGTGTTTTGGAAGAAGAGGCCACAGTGCCCCTGATTCCTTATCACCCAGAGTGAAGGCAGCCTGTGTGAGCCTAGCTCTCTTTTCCATTCATTCTGAGCATCCCACTTCACAAAGGTGAACAGCCCCCTCCCCGTCTCTCCCCTTCTCTCCAACTGATGGGGACTGATGACCTCACAGCCATTAAGAGTACTGGGCCCTACAAACTCCTAGGACTGAGCTAGTTTTATGAAACATTTGCTCAGAAGCCCCAGGGAGCACCAGGGCAGCCTGAGACATAGGGCAAACCCCTATGGTTGTAAATAGACAGGAAATGTGTCCTCTCCCACCAGGTGGATGGCTTCAAGGACTGCAAATGCCCCAATATCCCTGCTGGATCCTCCAAGGGGAGGTCACTCTGGGCCAGGGCTCTGAGAGGGGCAGAAAGTCCAAGTTGAGGCTGCAGTCTGAGAGGAAGAAGAAGATAAGCACCACACACACACACACACACACATCCACTATTGGTATAACTTACCCACTCTTGTTCCAGGGACCCCCTCCCACACATACACACACACCCATCCCAGGTTATAAAAGTGGCCTCTGGGGTCCAATCCAGCTGCTTTCTCCTGAAGTGGCAGGCCCAGGGGTTCTGGGAATCTTCCACAGGGAGAGAAGGTTTTGACTAAGAAGCCAGAATGGTGGGGGTTCAGTCTGCCACTCTAGGTGCCAGCAAAAGCCAGCATGGCAGGGGTCCAGCAGGGATTCCCTTCTTCATCTCTCAGTAGCAAGGTTTCAGCCATCGTGGTAGGGGACACTTCACTCACTTTTGCAAGCCCAGTACAGGCTTCGCCCCTGGTAGAGCTCAAATAAGGCTGAAGAATGAGGAGGGGGGGTCTCTCCTTTCCCCTAGAAGACGGGCAGTGGGGAGTCTCCCAGGAGAGAGAGGACAAGGACCTTGTCTTGCACTCTGTCTCCTCCGAGCCCAGCGCGATGCCTGGCACACAGCAGGCACTCAGTACAGTAATTCCATGTTGATTGACTAGGGTGTTTGCGGTTCATTCCAAGAAGGGGTCCCGGAAGCTACCGGCTTCACCCACTACCAGGCAACCAGTGGACACTCAATAAAGGCTTGTTGAATATGGAATGAAGAAAGAGGTGAACTCAGCGCTCCCCTGTGCCCCAGCCTCCTTACCTGTAGGACACCTGCTTCTGTAGGTGCATCTGGCGGAAGCGCTCCTCCACTGGGGGCCCAGCGGCCATGCCCCGGGGCCCCTCCGGCCAAGGCTGCAGGACTGCGGCCTCCTCCCCGCGCTTGCAGCGCCGCCGCACCACTTCCTCCTCGGCTGCTCGGCCGCCGCTGGCCCCATCCCCGCGAGGCCCTCCGCCACCCGGCCCCTCGGCCATCCCGCTGCCTGTCGGGCTTCCCCGCTAAAGTTCAGAATCTCTTTCCTCCCGAGCCGGAGGGCGCGAGGTGGGGAGGGGGGACGCGCCGGGTCCCGCGCGTCCCTCCCGACGCCGGGCTCAGACACGCGGGCAGTGAGGTGCTGGGCACCACGCCTGAGGAGGGCCGGCAGGGGTCCTCCTGCACCCCTGGAGGGCCTGGCGGGCGTCGGGGCTGCGTCGTGTTCCGGAGCGCCACCCGGACGGCTGGCGCCGGAGCCAGAGCTTAGAGAGCGCGCAGTGCAGCCGCCGCTGCTGCCGCGCACCGGAGTGTCACCTTAGAGACACTCGCCTGCCCGCGGGCTCCGGAGGGGGCGCCCCGCCCCGTCAGCCCGGCTCGGGGCGCGCAGGGCGCGAGCCTGGCCCAGCCGCGGCGTGCAGGAACCTGCCCGGGCGCGGGGTCCGGCTGTGCGCGCAGCAGGGGCCACTGGGCTCCCGCCGCCCCCGCACCCGGCTGCTGGCAGCTGCCAATCATCACTCGCCTGTCACTCAGCGGCTGGGAGGCCCCCCTCTCCCGCGCTTTCCGACTCACGGCATTCGCCACTGCGGTGGGCAGGTGGAGAGCGGGGGCGGTGACACGAGCTGGCTTTAACCCCGTCGGTGCCGTGGAGCCTTAGGGACCCCATTGGATTTGGGGAAGGGGAATGGGCAGGGGCAGGAGAACCAGCTCAGAAAGGCCTGGAATTTGGACACGGTGCTGGTTGCCTGGGCCTAGAGATCTTCTGGGCCACTCCGGAGGGATCCACCTGGGCGGGAGTGTGGGTGGAGAGCTTCCCCACCCAGAGCCCCTCAGCCTCAATGTCCCACTGACCCCAGTGACCTGCGCCTCTAGGCTGCAGGGCCTGGGTCTCCCAGAGAGTTAAATGAGCCTTCAGGGCCAAGGGAATGAGGCTGGTGGGAGAGGGGAAAAGCCTATTTCTGAAGAAAGAACTCTTAAAGCCCCTCCTGCACTCACCCCTCTTCTTTGTCTCCAAATCCCACAGTCACCTAGCTATTCCCTCCTTGCATCATCTCCCCTTGTTCTTGGGGTACTCCTCACCTGAATCATACACCTGGAGTATGGTGGAACCCTGGTTGACTTTTCAGCTCGAACCCCTCCTATTCAAGGCCCAGACTGATCTTTGTGAAGTGAACCGGTAGCATCTACTCTCATCCCACGATATTCAGTGGTTTCCCATTACTCTTACTTTTTAGCATGATATTCAAGGCCTTGAGCTTCCTGTATTGGATCACATCCTGTACAGAGTCGAGACCCATCCATTTCCCTCGACTCATCTGTGTACCTCATTCTGGGAGATGGCATCAGGCCTTGCAGCATTGTTCAGGTGATGGTCATTGTTCAGATGATGAAATCTCCTCTGTTGAGTCTTACTCAAGTTCTGACGCTCAGCTCAGATGTCTTTTTCTCTTCCAGGAACCTTCTCTAGATGGCTGCAGCTAAAAGCCTCTCATTCCTCCCAGCCCCCATTGCCCTCTGGACCAGACATCTGGTCTATTCTGTGTAATCTTCCTCCACCGACTGTGAGTAAAGAACAGACTACAGAGGGGACAGCTGTGCCACCCATGGCCCTTCCAAATCTCACTAGTCCTTCGGTGGTGAGCTTGCTCCCTGTTTTTGCTCAAGTTGTTCCATTGCACGGAGCAGGTCTCTTTCTCTGTCCCTCCTAGGGAAAGCCTGTCCATCCTTCAAGGCTTATCTCAAGAGCCACATCCCCCACAAAGCCCTCGTTGATACCCTCCCACAGATGCAGTCTCCCTCCTTTAGCCCCATGACGATTTCCTGGCCTCTCTTCAGGCACCCTCTTTCACACTCTAACAATAACTAACATCTCGTTTGATCCTCACCACAACTCTGGGTGGTAGATATTATCATTTCCTCCATGTTACACAGGAGGACACTGAGATGTCATTCAAGTGATTTGCTTGCTCAAGATGGCTCAGCCTGTGAGTGGCGGGGCCAGGCTTTAAATCCCGGTCTTCTGGCACCAGGACTTCTGCCACATACAGGCCTCAGTTTCCCTCTAGTCTGTAAGCAACCTCACACTTGCCTCAGTTTCCTTCTGTAAGCGTCCTATGGACAGGTCTAGGTCAGCTCTGCCTCCCATCTCTCTTCCTATCTTGCAATCCCATGTGGGATGAATGGAATTGCATTAAATTTCTGGGCCACAGGATAGCTTCCTCCCTAGAGCTCTGCACTCAAGGGAAGGGGATTATACACGTTTCCAAGCAAGGCCTGCAGAGCTGGAGAAGGGGGTGGGGCGAGACACCTGGGGCTGGGGCCGTGCATCAGCCTCCCAGCTGCCCTTGGGATTGCCCTTCCCAGGTTTCCTGACTGCTAATGCCAAGCAGTTTGGCCAGAGTAGCCACCTATACCAGGAATTATGGTAGTTCTGGCTGGGCTTGACACTCCCTCACCAGCTGCCTCCCTGCTGGCTCTCCAGGTTGGTTTGTGTTCAGTTCTTTCCTGCAGAGCTCCCCACTCGATCCTTTTTTAAGTGAGGCTTCTCTTCTCTGCATTCACACCTTCCCACTTAGGACCAGCTGCTGTGGCAGCTGGACCATCTTTTAGCTGTGGCTCCACCTTCTTCCCAAGAATCCAAGGGAGAAATGAAGGCCACCTTCCCCAACCAGCCTGACCACCTTCTGCAGCCTCCCTTGGCTGCAGCTTGCTCCTCTGAACATTTCCAGTCATTGTCTCTGTGCCCAGAAAAGAACAGCTGATTCTCTTGAGTGTTTACTGCATAACTGACCTTGTGCCAAGAGCTTTCTGTGCAAGCTTTCATTTGTAAGGGTGGGAGCCATTTTACAGACAAGGACACTGAGGCTTCGAGAAGCTAAGTAACTTGCCGAGGTCTCACACTTACGTGCAACATGGACATCAGAGCCCACGTTCTTAACTGCCACACTGATGACAGAGCTACTCAGACCCTTTTAGAGCTGATCTTCCAGCCTCTGTCTCCTCCACCCCTGGAAAGACACAGGGGCACCTGTTACTATATCAGATGGGTGCCCAATTTGGCCAGGTGGCTCCTGGGGTCAGCCAGCCCTTCTAGGATTGAGACCTTGCCCATCTCTGTTCCAGGCATCACTCAAAGCTGCTCTCCCTGCTGCTCAAAGCTTTGGGTTCCAGGTGTGACAAAGGGCTTGTTTTGGCAATCTGAGGCAGGATGACTGACACTGTGAAAGCCATCACATGTGTGTGTGACAAAGCAGGCTGCCAGGGCTGGCTGTAGAATGTGTTCAGCTCAGATGCCTGTCTTTTGTTTGGCTGGAAGTCACAGGAGTAGGTTCAATTCCAGACCTGAAGGGCAGCTAGGGGCCATAGTCTCAGGGGTTCCACCCAGCATGCAGCTCCACCACTGGGCATGCATTGAAAACACTCCCGCTCAGGGACAGTGACACACGGCACTGCCAACACGTAGCTTGTACAAGGGAATTAACCTTTCATCCAGACACAGGCTGGGAGATGACTTTGGTATGGACTGGCACAGGGTAGTGATCATGGACAGCTCTGCTTTGACCAGCTTGCAGACCCTAAGAACTCTGGACTAGTTCTTTAGGAAGCCTCATGCTAGTGGAACCTGTGCAGAAATTTAAAAAAAGAAAGAAAGAAACTGGGTGGGGCAGGGGTATCTAGAGGAGATGGGCAGGGGCGTTGGGGTGGAGGATGGAGAGGTGGAGGGCCAGCATGAACTTTGGAGCCAAGCAGACCGGAGTTCATATACCAGCCTTGCTACTTACCTAGCTGTGTGACCTTGGTCAAATCATTTCACCTCTCTGAACCTCACTTTCACACTTCCTCATGAGTAAAGTAGAAATATAGTGTGTGTGTGTGTGTATATTTATGTGTGTATGTGTATACACATATATATGTGTGTATATATATATATATATAGTAGGGATTGTGAAGTTGGCACAGGACTGGGCAGTGTTTCGTTCTGCTGTGCATAGAGTCTCTATGAGTCAGAGATGACTCGATGGCACCTGACAACAACAAAAGTGGAAATAAAATACCACTTAGGATTGTTTTGCATTCTAACTGGAATAGGTAAAACCCTCAGTCCAATGCCTAGAACACGGCTGCTAGTCAATAAACGGGAGATGGTAGAGTATGAGCCATTAGGAGCTGCATCTTATGTGTGTCTCCTGTTTGCATAGTGCAGTGAACACAAGGGGCACTGCAGAAATATTTTGAATAAATGAATGATGCAGGGTAATACCAAAAGGCAACTTTATCTTCCATTCTTCTATTTCAACCTTTCCCATTTCTCCCGGTTCAGCTCCTACCCCAGCGGGAACCCCAATTTCATTGCTGCTGGGAGTCTCCCTCAGTTTTTTTTTTCCCCACATTCTGCACTCATGCTTATCCACCCCCCCTTCTGTCCAGGCTCCTGTGATCCTAGGTGGACTTCCTTGTCTGATCCCGGGGTCTCATCCCCACCTCATGCATCGTCTTTCCTTTCTGCGGCCCCTTCAGCTTTCCCTCTCAGCTGGCTCTCTGTTGTCTAGAAATAACCATGGTCAACTTTCTCCCATCTAAAAATATGGCCCAAACTGCCCCTGATGGCACATGCATCCTCCTGCTAGTTGTCTCCTTCGGTCCCTTCACAGTTGAACCTTCCTGAAAGAGTTCACCTCTACCCTCCTCTCCCAGTGTTCATTTCTATGTTCGCTTTCTGCCCAGCTTTCCTCTGACCTGGCTTCCTCATCAACAAAGGGAATGGGCACTTTGTCTTCCTTGCACGTTATTCAGCCTCTCAGATGGCACCTGACATCGCAGACTCTCCTCTGTGGAGCTCTCCTTCCACCAGTTGCTGGGACACTCACCCTCTTCTGGTTTCTCTCCCCTCTCTCACCATTTCTTCCCAACCTTTCTTCACTTCTTTCTTCCGCTTGTCTCTTGATGTCTGTCTTCCCTGGAGTTCTGCCCTGATCTCGCTTCTCTTTTTGTAGACCCAAGACTT